GACAGGTGGGGCCATCAGAAGCCTTTAAAAGGCAGCAAACCTGGGAATGCATTTCTAATTTTTTTTAAGTTAGCTGAGAAAGTGAAAGATCTCGTGTAGGGGTTTTTCCACGTTTATGTTTGGTTGAGTCTTCCCTTCCCCAGCACCTCCTGTCCCTGTCCCGTGTCCCCTGAGCCCTTCTGCTCCCTCTCACGTGCTCACTTGCTCTGCTCTCTACCTCATGCCTCTCCTTTTTTCTAGTCTCGTGGCCTTTCTTGTTTCCTGGCCTTTACCCACATCACGTCCACCTACATATATACCTTTACCACCTTCTAATTTTTTTCCTTTTTTAATTGAGCTTTTAAAATTTCATATATTTCCCACTCAAATCCAGACCCCCTCCCCATCCACGCCTCCCCCCATCCCCCCACCAAACCCTAAGTACTCTGCCGTACATGCTGAGTCCTATTCATTCAGGTGTTTGTGCCCAAATGTCCCTCAGTGCTTTTTAAGTTCTCTTTTTCTATCAAAAAAGAAAGTGTCTGGGGCTGGAGAGATGGCTCAGTGGTTAGGAGTACCAGCTGCTGTTGAAGAAGACCCGGGTTTGGTTCTCAGAACCCACATGGCGGCTAAGAACTGTCCATAACTCCATTTCCAGGGGATCTGATGCCCTCTTCTGACCTCTACATGTATTGCACAACACAGGTGCACTTACATACATGCTAGCATTACACTCATAGACAAAATATAAAAATAATAATAATAAACACCATGTCTACACCTTAATCGGATGGGGTACATGCATTTAGTAAATTCTGCATGTATTGGGCTGTCAAGATTGCTGACCAACTGTGTTGATCATAACAACAGTGGGTTTTCCCCTTACTGTGTTTAGTTTATAAAGAGAAAATATGGATGGATGGGCATTGGCATTCAGTCCCAGCAGAAGAATAAAGACTGATTTAGAAGAATACAGAATTTCTGCCGCCTCTGGGCACAGACAGACATGGGCCTCTGATGGAGGACCTCAGCCACATACGGTGCTGGATGACTGCGGGGACTTGGGAGGGATGGCATCCCAAGCCACCATCCTGCTGTCTGGTGCTCTGGGGATTCTAGAACCAGCAACCTGCCTGCCCCCATAGCCTCCATCACTGCTGACAGCTCCACTGTCTGGAGCCAAAGGATGAAATACAGGGCTTTCTGTCTACTCTAGTGAGCCTGATCTCTCTCTACTCTCGTGAGCCTGATCTCTCTCTACTCTCGTGAGCCTGATCTCTGTCTACCCTGTGAGCCTGATCTCTGTCTACCCTGTGAGCCTGTTCTCTGTCTACCCTGTGAGCCTGTTCTCTGTCTACCCCAGTGAGCCTGATCTCTGTCTACCCCTGTGAGCCTGTTCTCTGTCTACCCTGTGAGCCTCATCTCTGTCTACCCCTGTGAGCCTGATCTCTGTCTACCCTGTGAGCCCGTTCTCTGTCTACCCTGTGAACCTATTCTCTGTCTACCCCTGTGAGCCTGTTCTCTGTCTACCCTGTGAGCCTGATCTCTGTCTACCCCTATGAGCCTGTTCTCTGTCTACCCCTGTGAGCCTGATCTCTGTCTACCCTGTGAGCCTGTTCTCTGTCTACCCTGTGAGCCTGATCTCTGTCTACCCTGTGAGCCTGTTCTCTATGTACCCCAGTGACCCTGCTCTCTGCCAACCCCAGTGAGCCTGCTCCCACATTACCCAAGGACCCATCCTGCATTTCCTGTCACCAAGCTGGTGGCTCTGCTCGGTCATTGTCCTTCTTAGATGGGTGACATCTGGTCTGTAGAGCCGTTCCAGAGGGGTCTGAGGATGATGCAATTCAATAGCCCTCTGTGCTCATGAACAGGAAGGCAACTTTGTTACCCCCAATGCCTTGTAGCTGAACTCACAGACGGGATGAAGGGTTTCCACACACAGTTGTTTAGGTAGGGCCACAAACCCTCATACTTAGGCACTGCTTAGACACGCTCTTAGACCTTGGTGTAAATTTTTCTAATCTCTATTTCATCCCCACCCCACTATATATACACACATATGAAGATATAAATAACTGAATTTGTTTAGTCACAGAATGTAATTATATAGCACTTGAATAAAATGTACTTTATATATTTAATCACGTTTCAATTATATGCAATAATTTCATCATGACTATTTCATACTTCATATACTTGAAAATTTTAGAAATATATGTTGATTGAAAAGTGTATCTGTCTCAATATGCCCCTCATAACCCATGGCTGCTATAGCTTAGCCACTGCACTTTTTTTCCAGTCAGTACATTTCTCCTGTCTGCCAGGTTGGGTCCTTTAAAGTTCGGTATTCTGTTTTTCACTTCTTCCAGTCACACAGACACCAAGAACACTAGTAAGCTTTGAGGAAGGACACTTAGAACCATTTGCAAGTCTGACTAATTAGTCAGGGCTTTCTGGGAAGGTCATTCAACAGTTCAGAGAGAACTCTGCAAACCCAGAGCACTGTGTGGTCAGTCTGTTAGCGTTTTAAGCAGCAAGTATGGTGACTTTAACTCAGAGCCAGATCCTCACAGATGTGGATGAGCACAGAGATGCTGTAAGGAGATTCTCTACAGGCCCATGGTCCTTCCTCACCTGTCACCTACGTCTTTGTGTGACAAGACCTCCCCTGCTGCAAGGTCCTTCCCACATTTATTTTACCACAGCCATGGAAGATACAGCCTCTGAGGCAGGTCAGTGGAGGAGCTGTGGGTACAAGTAAGTGCCTAGCCTTGCCTAGATCCAGGGTTAGTGGGCTTCTGTAAAAGCCCAGGACAGTGGATTCCAACCTGAGGGGATGAAGACAAGAGCTTTCAGACACCATCAGGGAAAGGAGTGAGATGGCCAACGCCTCTGGTGATGGCTAAAATGCTTTCTAGTGACACAAGTTACCCCTGGATTCTGACTCAGGCAACCCTGTGTTAGTTCACTACCCAAGGCCTGGGTGGTCAGAGACAGACAGACACTAGGTCAGCTTTCCTCAGCTCCATCTAGATTTCATTCCCGAAGAGTCACTCTTATTCTTCTACTTGATGAAAGAAAACAGCGCACGCGCACAGGCCTTTGTACGTGTGAGATGGCAGACAGGTGGACCGAGGTGCTGGAACGTGACAAAATCCCACAGGGTGGTCAGTGATGCCCCCTCGCTCCCATCTTGATGGGAGCTGTTTACAAACCTAGACCCGCGTTAGGGACATGATACCGTCTGGAGTGTGAAGACATAGCATAACAGCTTCCCCAATTGGCATCTGAGCCATGCGGCACCCTGACCTCATGCTTTGCAAGCTGAAGGGATGCAGCTGCCTAGAAGGGGAGTTCTGAGCATTTGGGGCTCAAGAAGTTCCCTTGTGGAGCTTTCCCCTTTTGCTAATTAAATTTATTCTATATTTTTTAAAGTTGAGAATTATTTTATGTGTATGAATATTTTGCCTGCTTCGTAAGTGCACCATGTGCGTGCAATGCCCATGGAGGACAGTAGAGGACATCAGATCTCCTGGAAATGGAGTCATGGATGATTGGTAGCTGCCATGTAGGTGATGGGAACTGAACCCAGGGCCTCTGCAAGAGCAGCCAGTGCTCTTAACTGCTGAGCCATCTCTCCAGCTTCAAATGTGTTCTTTGACATATTTATAACATGCATTCTAATTACTCCCACGTTCCATCTTGGAACCTCCCCATGTTCCATCCTGGAACCTCCCCCACGTTCCATCCTGGAACATCCCCACTCCCTCCGTACAAATCCTTTCCCACAGTCATGTCTTTTTGTTTGTTTTGTGACCCACTGATTTTAACCAACGCTGCCTGTGTGAGCATGAGGTTGAACAATCCCCTGGAGCTTGCTGTGTTCCTCAGTGGATACACAACTGCAGACAGGTATGACCAGTCATAGGGTCTAGCTGTGGTCAGTACTTCCACAGGGAGAGGTAGAGCCCTGAGAGCCTCCCCCATCCATACCTTTCAGTATAGACATATGATTTTATTTGTAAATGGAATGGTTTGTGGAAGGCTGCTGTGCTAGATAGGTTTCGTTGTCTGCTTGACATGCCTGAGTAAAGGGAGCCACAGCCTCCACTGGACTGGCCTGTGGCCATGGCTGTGTGGCATTTTCTTGGTTGCTGAGTGATGTGGGAGGGCCAAGCCCACTGTGGGTGATACCATCCCTAGGCAGGTGGGCCTGTGTTGTGTAAGAGAGCAGGTTGAACATGGGCCAGGGGAGCAAGCCAGGAAGCAACATTCCTTCACTGTCTGTGCTCCAGGTTCCTGCCTTGAGCTCCTACCTTGACTCCTTTGGTGATAAACTGTGACCTGGGAGATGTAAGATAAAATAAACACCTCTCCTCAACTTGGTTTTGGTCAGTGTTTTTATCACAGCAATAGAACACTGACTAAAATGGTCACTTATTGATAGAATCCCCTCTTCTGTATTAATAAGGGTTACGGCTGATTAGAAATGTGTAGGAGATAGCACAGTGCAATCCAGACATGAACAGCAGAAACCAGATGCAGAAGGTGTTTGAGAACACTGTGCCCATGAAGATGACTGAGCTCAAACAATACCTTTATTTCAAGGTTTGCCATTTGTAAAGTACTAAGTCTTGCAGCTTCGTTTTTGTGAGGATGTCTTAGGACTGATGTGATAGCAAGATGAATTTGAGCATTCCTTACAAACTAGGTGTTGCCCACTCTAAGAATATGTATAATAACAGACTCCTGTGAATGTTTACTGGTGGGGGGTAAGGCAAGTTCAATGGGTGCTAATATATATTTATTAACTAACACCTAGTTACTCCTCAGTGAAACCGGAAATTATTGCACCTGTCAGGGTGCTAAAGACTTACGAGCTCCCGCTTGCTCCTAAGTAAAAAGGGGGCATTTCGGGCTTCTGTTTCTTTCTCTATCTTTACCAATACCCCCAATTTCAGGGCTGAGAAGGACCAGGGCATCACGTGTCATTGTTTAATGAGTTGGTGACTTCTTACCTTGAAACTGAGCGTTGAACCCCTTGCGTCGATGGTTGCTGTCAGATGTGAAATGGAGCCGGAGCCAGTTTTTGCTGCTGATCACAGGAGAGGGCAGGTTCATGCCCGTGAGCCTGGAAAAGAGAAAGGAGGGAAATCTCCCTTGTAACCACAGAACAAATGTCACACTTGCTTAAAAACTGGATCTCTGGCAGTCTCATCCTGAGGTGCTACAAGACGCCTATGGGTACTGCTTGCCTTTAAATCTTAAAATCATCCAAGTCACTTTATCTTTGTCCAAACACAAACACTGTGCACTAGTGATAGAAGGAAGGCATTCCAAGGCATTTGACATTTCAATTCTGTATTAATGATGGATACCGGAGAGGACACAGTTTTGATCTTTTATTTCCTTCTTTCAACCTAGATCACAATGAATCATGAAAAGAGAGGGCTAGGCTAACGACACATGCCTGTCTTTCTCTTCACTGGCTCTTGGCAAATCTTGCAATTTGAGGTAGTTAGTGGTACATCATGCTTAAAGGCAGACCACATTCCCACAATCCACCTGTAGGATTCACCACAGGGGCCTTCCCCATGGTAAAGAACATTTATGAGATGAAACAGGCCATCAAAGGGTTTTGAAATAGAGTAAAATTAGGTTTCACTAAAGTAGCATATTAATCTCTTAAAAAGAAGATATGATCAATCTCTCAAGAGGCTGCTTACAATTCCTAACATACTCTCCAAAGCTCAGCTCAGCCCTAAAACGTTGCAGCTCAGGCTGCCCACTGTTGACATTGTGGACTGAGTCACAAGGAGGAAACACTTTTCAGGCTGTAAAAAAGACCCAGAGCATCAGGTTGGGACTGTATTCAGCAGGCCCACGTGCCTAGACCCTAGCACTTCAGACCAGACTGTTGCTGGCCAGGCCTTATGCCAATGGTTGGGCCATGATTCATCAGTTAATTTCCCCACATGAAACCTAGACATGGAACCGAGATCTCTTGGCAGCCAGGGTGGATTCCTACCCAATGGGGCCAGAATCCACAATGGCTCAACTTTCTTATTTCACATTAATAACACCTGTGTATGATCTCTGGGCACTTGGTCTGGATATATCTTAGTTTCTGTTGCTGTAAAAAACACTGACCAAGCCAACTTGGTGATGACAAGGCTTATTTGGTTTACAGAATAGTTCATCAAGGGAAGCCAAGGCAGAAACTTGGGGCGGGACCTCGGAGGCAAGAACCGAAGCGAGGACCACGGAAGAGTGCTGCTCTTGGCTTGCTCTGACCTGAACTCAGTCTGCTTTCTTTATAATCCGGGACCACCTGAGCAGGTGTGGCACTGCCCACAGTGGGCTGGGTCCTCCCTCCCACGCCACTCAGCAACCAAGAAAATGCCTCACAGACACGCCTACAGGCCAGACCCATAGAGTGAACTCTTCAACTGAGGGTCCCTCCTCCTGGGTGTGTCAAGTTGACAACTGACACTGTCAGCCCAGCTTAGAACACCTAATGCCTTGTAAAGGTTGGGTAACAGGTGCCTGGTACATCGAGGGGAAATGAGAAAGATGCTTGTGCATTTCCAGGATAGACACATTGAAGAAAAACATCTTGGTTGTTGAACTCCTGGCTTTGGAAGCCTAAGGAGACAGGGCCGTCAGTGGGTGTGTCAAGTTGACAACTGACACTGTCAGCCCAGCTTAGAACACCTAATGCCTTGTAAAGGTTGGGTAACAGGTGCCTGGTACATCGAGGGGAAATGAGAAAGATGCTTGTGCATTTCCAGGATAGACACATTGAAGGAAAACATCTTGGTTGTTGAACTCCTGGCTTTGGAATCCTAAGGAGACAGGGCCGTCAACATCCAGATGAAGGAACTGAAAGACGTGATTCATAAGCACATGAACAAGCAGCCAACATCTCTAAGGATCCCGGGCTGACCTGTGTCTATGGACTGCAGAATTATTCTGCAGTCCAGTTGCCAAATCCATTTCTGAAATGGTGCTTGTGAGCATGACGGATCTGTAAGGGTTAGCCAGGTTGCATTAACAGACACCTGGTGGCCCGTGGTCTTCTCTCTGGGCACCCTGTGGTCAGTGGTCAAGCTGGGTATTTTGCCTTCAAGCTCAAGGAAGACACCTACAGGGGGTATCAGCTCTGCACCCACTTCCTGTGGGAAACACCGCAGGAGGGCCATGTGCACTCAAGTCCTTGGCACCAGGGCACTCAGCTTCATTAGAAATTATCAAGATGGACTGGAGTTCAAAGCTCCACTCTGACTTCACAGAGACCCAAGTGTTTATGTCACTGACTAGAATAATCTGGAGGAAACAGGTCACTCAGATTCTTTTCCACTTGGATTTTGGTAGCCCAGAGCAGAGCACTGGACACAGCTGACTCCTGGACAGACCTCATCGCCTCTCCCTTGGCCCAGGAGAGGTGGTCTGACAAACCTTATAGATGACGCAGCTAACAAGGAGAAGCTGACCATGGATGAAACCCTAGATCCTTGGCCACTCACCCTACTGACCATCTGAGCTTGTTAGAATGGAAGTCTATATCTATTTTTTATGGTTTTAAAGTGTTATTTAATTGTTGTAATCTCAAAAACGAGGTAGAATTCCATTTCAGGTGCATGTCAATGTGTGTGGTGCCCTTGCACGGACACGCTCTTCATTCCATTGTATTTCCAAACACTTGTCCACAGAAAGCCAGCTTTGTGTCATTAAACAAACATTTCCATAAATAACAGATAGTATTTTTGACTTTGTGAATAAAACATCTCATTACAACTAGTGAACTTTGCCTTTGTTCAAAATCAACACTAGGATGTTTGGTGTTGATTCAAGAGGAGTCTCCCTGTGGACTCCGACATCTAAAGTTCATATATGTTTTCTGTGTAATAAAATGTTGCTCTTCTCAGGGCTCGGGAGATGGAACGGCAGTCAAGAACACCGGCTGCTCTTTCAGAGGACTCAGGTTCTATTCCCAGCACCCACATGGTGGCTAACAACTATCTGTAACTCCAGTTCCAGGGTATCCAACACCCTCTTCTAACTCTGTGGGTATTGAATGACACAGACACATTTTACATACATGCAGGCAATACACTCATATGCCTAAAATAAAAATAAGTAAAATATTGAAAAATTATTCTTCCTATAGTTTATCACATGTAACAATGTAAAACCCACTCATAGTTTCTGGATCACATCTAGCTCATGGGTAGCAGGTTCCTGACCTCTGTCTTCGTATAAGGGGAATAGTTGTGTACAGGGTCCTGGTCAGGGCACTAGAGAGATGGCTCAGTGATTAGGAGTGTTTACTGCTCTTACAGAGGACACAGATTCAGTTCCCAGAACCTACTTGGCTTACAACCCCCTGTGACTGCGGTTTCAGGGGATCTGACCCTTTTCATGCATCTGTGAGCTCCAGCATGGGTGTGGTACATGGAAACACGTGTAGGCTCACACATATACACAAGAAAACAAAAATCTTTAAAAAATCCTGGCCAGGAAAAATTAATCTCTTTTAAAGATTTATTACATTAATTATGTATGTGTGTGTGCCTATGTTTGTGTGTGTGTATGTGTGTGTGTGTGTCTATGTGGAGGGTATATGCATGTGAGTGCAGGTGCCAATGGAGGCTTTTGGGGCCCCTGGAGCTTGAGTTACCTGTAGTTCTGAGCCACAATCCACAGTCTTAACAGCT